CTTACAATGAGTTTCTGCGCTCTCCCTATAGTCTTTCCCAGTTGTCTTCTGAGGCTTCACGTGTGGGCCAATGGTTCCAGGGCTCCTTCCTTCCTCTGCAGCTTTCCACAGACATCTGGGATATAGGACTTGGAAGATCTGTTCCACTCTCGTTGCATGGTGACTTACTAGTGGATAGCTGGATTCAAACCCAATTCCATGGCTCAAATGAATGGAGGCAGCATCTGGATCTGCTTCCAAAGGTTGCTGAGTCATCTGTGCAGGACTGAAAAACATGAGAACAGGGTCCCCTCCCCCCTTTGTGAGTGACTCTCCCAGGAGAGGCTTTGCTGGTCAGACTTAGGCATGGAGAACAGAGGATAAGAAATGGAGGAATGGAATGGGGGGATAGCTTGCAGGCAGAGTTTGAAAAGACATTAAGGTTAACATTGCAGATGTTAAGTAGACAGATGAAACCCACTTAAACACATACAGTAAATGCAAGAATGAAACTTTTCCTGTAGATGAACTTAAAACATTCCCTTCTGACAACTTTGGGCTGTTCTTACAAGTACAGAGAAAAAGGAAAAAAGAACACATTTCTCTTCAACCTGTTTTGCTGGCCAGGCAAACAGGGTGAGAGTATTTTCCTTTTGGTGGCTTATTTTAAGCAGAATTTCTAGCAGAATTTTAAAATTCTTGTCTCTAGGGATTAGAGACACCCAACAGTTAACATTTACCTCGAGGACACACAAAGATCTTGACACAGACACACATACATAAAGACAAATAGTAAAGGAGAGGAAAACAGAATATAGTGGGAAAACATTCCCACTATAAATCTCAGCTAGCTCAAATTAGGGAAGGCACAAATCTTAAACATCACGTGGTTGCAGAGAGAGAGAGAGAGAGACAGAGAGAGATACACAGAGAGAAAGAGAGAGACACACAGAGAGAGACAGAGAGAGTCACTATTCCTATATTTTATTTTCCTTTTCTTTTAAGTACCTTTATTTAGCAAAATTGGTTTCCCAGCAAAGCCCGTTCTTCATAAATTTGTCTTGCTCACTTCCTTTTCATACAGGCTAGGATGGGCACTCGCCTCTCGTCCCACACCTTGAGCAAATCTCCAATGAGAGATCTAAACCTGACCCTCGAACTACAGATTCCCATGTTCCCTTTCTGATGTGGGGTTCAATCGGCTTAGTCAGGTCCCTTCTAGTGGCACAACCCAGCCACTCTTAGTGACATTAACCCTGCTGCCCTGCCGTCAGTTTTTGGACAAAAAAAAATGTCCTGGAGGATTCTGGTTCCCTCACAGAGAACGGGCACTTCCTAACCAGGGAACACATTGCCGTCAGCTTCTCAGACCAAAAAGGGTTCCGGAAGGACCTGCTGCCCCCAACCCAGCAGGTATGGGCACCTCCTTCAACCACTATCAGTTTTCAGATGTAGGAGGGGTCTGGGAGGACCTCTGCTTTTTGCAGTAGTACGGGCACCTCCTACAATCAGGCTTTGCTTACAGGGCCTTACCAGCTGGTTGCCCAAATCTGATTTTCTCACTCACTTTTCCATTCCATTTTCCAAAGTTACAGTGGCAATGAAAAAAGTGACTTATGAACATTTATCACACTTAACAACCATTGCAACATTTCCATGGTCACATGATCAAAATTAGGATGCTTGGCAGCTGATTCATATTTATGACGGTTGCAATGTCCTGACCTTTTCGTGACCTTCTGACAAGCAGAGTCAATGGGGAAGCCAGGTTCACATAACAACCATGACACTAACTTAATAATTGTTGTACTTCACTTAACAAGTGTGACAAGAAAAGTCATAAAATGGGGCAAAATTCACTAAACAAATGTTTCACTTAGCAACCGAAATTATGACCACTATTTTGGTCATAAGTTGAGGACTACCTGTATAATTTTCATAATTGTTTCAAGACTGGCAGAGTAGCACTCTGTAGACAGTTTTTATTCATCAAATTTGTGTGCTGCCCAATTCCTAGAAATTCTGGGGCTAGAATAGTTTCTCTTTTTGAAAATTGTGAAGAACCTATTCCTATTTTTTTTTTTTTTTGGTGCCTAATTAAAAACTGAGCAGCCAGTGGCACAATATTAGCAGGATAGCCAATCTTCTGGGTGAGAGAAACAAATTATAAAAGATCTGAATAAGCTGCAGAATGAAAATTTGTAGAGATAAATGGTCAGTTCTTAGGAAAAAGAAACCAAATTCACAAGTATAAGTCATGCCGGGGCCGGGATATGATCGGACTCGCGGTATGACTGGATTATTTTATTGTTTTACGACTGTTTTTAATTTTGTATGCCGCCCTGAGTCCTTTGGGATTGGGCGGCATATAAATATTTGTAAAAATAAAAAAATAAAAAAAATGATGGGCTTGGAAAGGGTGGTTTGTGGCTTGTAAAGCACTTCCAGCCATTATTAAATCTAATGCCATCTCTGTGCCAGGGTTACATGACTGCAATCTGGATGTTTGGCAACCTGCTTTGCACTTACGACCAGTTGCCAAGCGCCCTGTGGTCATGTGATTGCCATTTGCAATCTTTTTTCTTGGCCTCCCCAAGGAGGCTAAGAATGCCAGAAGGTCATTGGGGAAGCCATCAGGGAAGATTGCAAGCCACAGCTGCCTGCCAAGAGAACTCCCTCTTGTCTCCGTTGGCTAGCTAAAAGAGCTGCCTACCGACCACAGTGAACTCCTCTGGCAAGGTGGAGAGAAGGCGCTCAGATCCTAAAGGTCCTACCTGCTTTTCTGCAGCCCACCAAAGCAGTTCTCTTTGGTGCACAGAGGACAGCCAAACTCCTCTGGTAGAATAAAGAAACAGATCCTGAAGATCCAAGTGCTGTTACTACAACCTCCCAGGACAGTTTTCTTCTGCAGCCAGAGGGGAGCCAAATTTCTCCAAAGGGGTGGAGAATCCAAAGATCTGAGTTCTATTCCTGCAACCCACTGGAGCACATGGAGGGGAACTGAACTCAACAGGCCGTTCTTTTACTCCATCCTTTAATGACCCAGGAGATTGCTTAATGAGCAGAACCAGGGCACTGGGATTGTGGTCGTTGATCAAAGCAGTCTTGCTTAATGACTGTTTTGTCCAATGACCAAGATTCCAGTTCCAATTGTGGTTGGAAATTGAGGGTTATCTGTATAGGATTAATAGTATGTGTGAAAGGAATCTTGGAATTGTAACTAAATGAGAATCATAGCATAACATGCCTACTAAAAGCTTGTTTCAATTAAAGGAGCATTTCCAAATCACTGGAAGTGATAATTCCATTCTAATTTGCATTAGTCAGACCCTACCTTGAATCCTGTGTCCCAGGTCAATTGCTTTTACACACACACACACACACACACACACACACACACACTTAGGAATTGTATATAGACCACACTTCCAAAGATCTAGAGAAACTTGTTTGAACGTTAATTTTATATTGTATCCAAATAGCTATTAAATTTCTTGGGATTCTGAATACTTGCTTGTTTCTTGAAGTGAGATGTTGGATTGTTAAAAAACATAAGCCCCATTTCAGCACCTATTTATGCTTCTGAACTTTTGCTTTTGTTTTTACTGAAACACAGGCAAAATCTCATATCAGCTCTATCCATGCATTTCATCTTGCAATTGTTGGTCAATAGTCAGCTGTTCAGATAACAGATTTATTTTTCTTGCTTTGTGCCTAATGAGAAAGGAAAATATGTTTCTAGTGTGGTCCTAAACACATTATATTTTTAAATTTCTAAGCCCACAACTCTATGTCTTTATTCCTTTTTATCCATGTCCTTACCGGTACTCCTTGATTTACAACCAGTTGCTTAGCAACTGTTCAGAGTTACGACAGACCTACCTTGGGTCTACATGCAACTCAGATTCAATGTTATGATGGTCACTGACACCATGGTCATGTGACTGACTTTTGGGCACATGGTAACCTGGATGTATCATGTTTGTGGCATTCCATATCACATGACCATGTTTTACAACTGTTTTATTGAGAAGTGGCACTTCTAATTTTCAGCAAAATGAACATCTTTGGTTCACTTAATGACTGCCACAAACAAGGCCATATTATCAAATCAGTCATGTGATAATCACGATGGTAAATCGAAGATTACCTGTATCTATGATCAAATTGTAAAATAGGACTCTGATTTAAAAAGAAAAAGAAATTATAAAAATACTTATATAATTTTTACTATTCTCTTAAACAAAGAAAGAAAGAAATGAATAAAATAAAACAAAACAAAATAGTATATCTAATGCAGGTTCTTGGTGAGCAAAACCTAGCACTTTAAAAGATCTTCCTGGATCTCTTAGCAACTTCCTTTCTGAAAACAAGAGCATAACACATAGGAATAAAAAATTAAAGGCACCCTTCAGATGACCTCAGCTCCTGAGCTAAACTGAGTGTCATGCAGAATATTTCTGGCAACAGTAAGGAAATGGTTTGTTTTGCCTGGGGTTTTTCTTTTCCTTTTCTCCATTTAATGTACAATTTTGGAATCTCCTAGTCATCGCCATCCAAATACTAATCATGTCTGACCTTGATTTGTTTTTCTAAGATCAGCTAAATTGACTAGATGCTGATTGTCCTTTTTTAAAATTATCATTCCTGCTTTTAAATATTATATTGGTTTTCAAATATTGTTAATTCTTTTTACATACTTTGAAAGCCATTTCAAAGGGAGGAAATAGTTTAATTAATTAAAGAATTTTAAAAATTAGAAAAGCTGCTTTTACCTTTTCCATCTTTTTTACCAATTAAATCTAAAAGCATTTTTAAAAAAATCAATTTTTCTCTGTAAAATGAATTGGGGATGAGAGGATTGCAGGTTTTACTGCATGCAACAAAGTAAGTACATTTATTTGATCCCTTGGCAAAGAAAAATAGAAACAAGTGGTCAGATTAAAGTGTGCTGTGCATGGCCTTTAAAACATGTTCAAGTACAAATTAACAGTGATATTTGTGTTCTTTTTGCTTTGCAGCCAAAACCACCCAATCCTGATTGGCGTTATTCTGCATCTTTAAGAGCTGGAATGCAAGGGTATGTACTAACTACAGCACCATTTTCTGGCTCTTGTGTTGCTTTAAATGAAATAATTCCCCAGATAGTTATCCTACCTTTGCTTCTCTGCAAAAGTTTGGAAATTACAAGTGTGTACCAACCTTTGGATTCAGTACAAATGTGAAATACAGTAATTTGGAAATTTGTTTTAATTTGAGGCCACCTAATTCAAAATTAAGAAATCTGAACTTATGTGCTTCCTGCTGTTTAACACTGAAGTCAAGAATGCTGTAGGAGGGCCCTGTTAGTCTTTTGTGGCAAAAAAAATCAGGCGGCGGTGCTACAAGATTGCTTCTAAAGTCAACTACAATTATTTTTTCCTGAATTTTAAATCAAAAGTAGCTTCAAAAATACTTAAGCCTATTTGCATGGATCATTTCTGTTACATTTCAGATGAATAGCTTATAATAAATTTTATGAAACATAGTGTTGTAAAAATGGTGCCATTTTTACCAATGTGACAGCCCAGAAGATGACCAATAGATTGTAAAATGTACAAGCAACAGCCTTGTGAAAGAGGAATGATTCTTTATTTTTCTCTTTCTGTGTAGATTTTTTTTAGTTTGTGTAAAAATAACAAGAAATATTGTGTAGAAATTTGAAACGTTTCAGAAGAGCTTTAAGAACATGGCATTTAATGGAAATGGAAAACAGTTTTAGGGATTTTTATTTTTGTGGTCTGACAGCTAGCTAGGTTTCTCCCTCTCTAATTTTTCGATGAGGCTTAAGAAAGTTGAAATTGTGATTCAGCTTGCTTAATTGGACTGCCATTTAGTGTACTTCCAGTTCCAAATTCCTTAAAAGCACTTGGAAGATAATCTGTAATTGCCTTTGAATCTGCAGTCCTTTAAATGCAACCTAAACCCTTGCTGGGTCCTTCACTGAGAAAAATCCTTCAGCTCCACTCCACCTAAAATAAAAACAGATTATTGCACCCTGCCCTCCCCATTTTTATTGCATGCACTTGTCTGGTAATAAACAAAAATAATTCTTGTGAGGGGAAATTGCAAAATCAAAGCACCTTTCCCTTTGAAAGATCTGAATCCCAGGAGTTAGAAAAGCTGGTGAGAGAAGAATTCTTGCTAGTGGGGAAATGTGCTCTGCACATGCTCTAGAGAGTTTTGGTATTTTTTTAATGCACTATAATTGAGCCAGAATAAAAGTTGTCAGCTGTTGATTCACAGAGGTATTGAGCACAGACTGGTTATTTATATCAAAATAAACTATTTTGTTTTTTTCTGAGAACTGTATAGTATAAACCTTGTGTGATTTGTTTAGTGCTGTACACATGGAAGAAACAGGAGGCCTGCGTGTTGGATCAGGGGGACCTGAACAGCAGTGGCCAACAGTATCCAGTGCAACAACAGGTAAGGGATATATATATACCTTTAAGAGCTTCTTAAGCACGTTATGTGCACATGCCACACTGCAACCGTTTTTTAACTGTTATGTAAATTTATGCACATACTCCCCCTTCTCATTTAGCCCTTTGCTCTGATGATGTTAACAGGTTGTTAACGAAAGCTCAGCAATTAATAAAAAAAGCCTTTTATCTTACATCCCAGAGCTCTTTATTTTTATCTGATTGACTTTAAATGTCGATACCTGGGATTCCAATATTCAAAATTATTAAAGACATACATACATACACACACACACACACACACACACACACACACATATAGGTTTGCCTGGGTTCTGCTGAGAGCCCAGGATCAGCGCATGCAGCTACAGCTGACAGTGGCAGGTCTAGGATCTTTTGCCTCCCATCCATGGCCATGCCTCCTTCTTCTTGAGCCTCCCACCTCCATCCATTTGCCTTCAGCATTCCTCCTCAGAGCAGCATGCGATCGCAATGCAATCGCCAATAGGTGATTGCAGGGGCTTTGTGGAGGGGTGTATGCAGCATCTGCAGTTGAAGTGGAGGCATGGGGGGGCATGTCGGGGTTCTAGTTGGTTATCCCCCCTCCAAAGATTCCCTAACCTTAAAACAGCTCTTGGGTTGCAACAGTTACCCAGCACGAGGGGCTCAGGAGAAAGAGATGCCAGCAATGCTAACTCCCAAGAATGAGGGGAGGGAGAAGGGGCAAAGAAAGGAAATCAAACCTGACAGGGAACATGGTAACCCTGCCCCTACTCCACAGAGGGCAAATCCCATCATCCCCAGCCTGGCAGGGGTCTTCTTGCCACACCGTTGCAAACAAAAGGGGGCTCCAGTGAGGAGGAGGAGGTGGATGAAGAGCGTTTAAGCTTAGCAACACGAGTGGGGATCTCACCCCAAAACAAACGTGCTACGTGGGTAACCCACCCAGCATGACAGAAGTGACCAAAACCTGCTGCATCCAGCCAGCAGACGGGGGGGGGGGGAATAAAAACCAAACAGCCCCCCCCCGCTGCCAATCCTCAACAGAAATGCTCACGACAACGAAAACCTCAGACAGGAAGAAGAGCGTGGCTGGGTGGGTGTCTTGCTCGGCTGTGGCTTGGGGGTGGCAAGGGGACAGCTTCACTCCCCCCAAATGCTGGCCTCTCATGAAAGCAGGATGAAAACTCCAAAAAACGACAAGGAAAATAGGTTAAAACAGAAGAGTGTCTATGATGGTTTGCTTCCCCACTTCCTTCTAGTAGTTTAAATAAAGACCACAAAAGAAAAATCTTGGCTTTCTTTTGTTGTAATTCAGAAGGGAGGATTCGGGGGGGGGGGTTGTTTCAAAGGAAGGTAAAGAGGGATTTTGGATCTGTGGGGGGCTCACAGGCAAACAGCGATGACACGCAGCTTCTGGCATTGGGGGGGGGCACAGTCTTTTTAAAAGAGTAAAACAAGGCAAAAAAATAAAAATCCCCCACTCCACCCCCCCATGAGCTGGATGCAGATGTGACCATTTTTTGTCTAGTTCAGAAGAGATACTCTTCTGTTTTAATCTTTTTTCCTTGTCGTTTTTCAGAATTTTCATCCTGCTTTCATGAGACAGCAGTGTTTGATGGGGGTGAAGCTGCCCCCTTTCCCCCCCAAGCCACAGCTGAGCAAGATACCTGCCTGCCTACCCGGCCGCGTCCGCTGCAGTGAGAGACGGCTGGAGCAGCAGGGCTATCAGGGCTCAGCAGAAGCACGATAAGTGCCAGGTTCCAGCTGATCGGTGCTTCTGCAGGGCTCAGCAGAAGTGCCAGGATCAGCTGGAGCCTGGCGCTGATGCTGGTGCTTCTGCTGAGCCCTGCAGAAGTGCCAGGATCAGCTGGAGCCTGGCGCTGATGCTGGTGCTTCTGCTGAGCCCTGCAGAAGCACCAATCAGCTGGACTCCAGTGCTAATCATGGTGTTTCTGCTGAGCCTTGCAGAAGTGCCGATCAACTGGAGCCTAGCGCTGATCCTGGCACTTCTACTGAGTCCTGACACCCCTGCAGAAGCGCCGATCAGCTGTCAGGGCTCAGCAGAAGCGCCAGGATCAGTACAGGAAGGAAGGAAGAAAGCTAGGAAGGGAACCAGCAGGACCCCCAAGAAAAACAAACCCCTTTTATTTTTACACTCAATGTCCAAGACTTCAGAATAGTGGTGGGATTCAAATATGTGAACAACCGGTTCTCTGTATGGATACTGCTTCCAGAAGTCCATTCTGGGCCTGGGCAACAAGTGGTGGTGCGAACTGGCTGAATCCTACCACTGCTTCAGAGGCAAGCAACACAATCAACAAAAACACAAATCCTCAGCCGGGTATCCCTTCCAATGAATCAAATACTGGGTATCTTTGCCTCTTTTCCTAAAGTCTAAGATTTCTTGCACCTCATATTATGGTTCTCCCTCTACTATGACTGGCAATGGGGTGTGTGGCTGGGATCTTATTGTGCTTGGGGGGCATCTTTGGCAAGTAATGCTTGATGAAAGACTGGATGCACCTTCATTGAAGGGGGTAATTGGAGGTGGAAAGGCACAGGGTTGATTTGTTGGAGAACTTTGAATGGGCCTACAAATTTAGGTCTAGGTTCTTGGAAGATCTTGAAGTAGCTAAGAACCTAGAAGAGAGCCAAACTTTATCTCCTACTGTTATGGATGGGCCTTCCTGGTGATGGATGCCTTTTCGTAAGTTTGTTTCACTTGGTCAAGTTGCTGTGTCAACAGGTCTTGGGCTGCAAGTTGTTCTTGTAAGAAGTCAATCTCCCCTGATACAGTGGAGTACAGTGCAGGATGTTTTGGCAATACTTTAGGGTGTGTGCCATAGATGGTTTGAAATGGTGTTATTGAAGTCGATGAGTGCAGCAAATAGTTGAAAGAAAATTCTGTGACTGGCAGTAATGATGGCCAGTTGTCTTGGTTGTAGGTGTAGTAGCACCGCAAGTACTGCTGGGGGGCGGCGGCACTGGTTACTTTTCTCAATGAGCAGAGGAGAGTTTGAGCTTGACATTCAGTAGCTGGTGAAGTGATTTCCAAAATCTAGACCATGCCATGGTAGCAAAAGAGGTGATCTAGAAAAAGTTGGGCAGTATCTTTGGTGTTGGGCAATCTCTTGCAGGGTATGAAATCGGCCATTTTGGTGAAAAAATCTACCACCACTAATATGGTGAACAGAGGGTAAATCAGTAATGTAATCCAGAGAGACTGTATGCCAAGGGTGGGGGAGTAGGCAGTGGCTGCAAAAGTCCTGCAGGCTTTGGATGGAGCGGTTTGGCCCTCCTGCATGTGTGGCAAGAAGCCACATATTGCCTGATGTCTGCAGCCACTAAAAGTCTCTTAAAGTTCTGTGCAGGGTTTTGAACACACCCTCATACCAAGCCATTTGATTATCATGGCAAAGCTGAAGTATTTCTTCACTGCATTGGGGCGGGGGGGGGGGACTACTAATCTGTCTTGGGGTAGCTCCCTCTAGCTCATTACAATCCAGATCTGCTGCAATGAGCTTGAAATGTTCAAGTTGTTTCCTTGGCAGTGTTGGAAGATCCGATTTTTGGCAGTTTCTATCCGAATAGGGTCTCCAAAATGCTCTCTACATCTGGTGAGCAAGTTTGGGTAACTATTCAGGATCAGGTAGTCGGTTTTGATGAGTGGAAGAGCCTGTTTGGAGTCAGTTAAGTGTGAAAATGAAGGAGATTCTTGATCTCTCTATCAGAACTTCCCCCTGGTCAGGTGCTGATGAACACATCACACTCTGCTTGGAATGTTCTCATTTTATCAGACTTCCCAATAGTTTGCAGTAGGCAGTAGGCAGCCGGGAGATTGGGGATGAGCAAGGCAGGAACAGGGAGTTGTGCCTGGGCTGGTGGAGCAGGTGGTTGCCATTGCAGAAGAATTCCTTGTTGAGTCAGGATCTGCATTTGCTGCATCAGTTGTTGAAGACTGGCTGCAAAATTCCTCATTTTGTTTCTATGCTGTCCAGGCGTCTGCTGATAGAGTAGCGGTCTGCTATTGCTGCAGCTCTGGGATCTGAGGTCATGGCTAGGATATTCTAGAGATTAATGTCAAGCACCAGGGAAATCAGCAGAATGATGCAGTTCAAATGAATATAAAAATTTATTACAGACTTAAGCTCTCTACAAGAATGTGAGCTACTAACATTCAAGAGAAATTAGCAGGAGATAAGAAAGGCATTAAGTTGGGCTTAGATCTCTTGTGGACACTCAGGGACTTATGACAGATGACACGTTTGACCTATCCCTCGGGCTCAGCCTTGGCCATCTCTTACAGTATCTCTCATTTTTTTCTCTTTGGTATTTGTGTTTGGGCTGTAATTATCTTCCCAACCCTTCCAGATATTTTTCTCATCAAGATGCCCATCCATGAGATCCTTATTTTTTTTCTTTATTGAAGTTAGCTTTCTTGAAATCTAGAGCACCTTCAGCTCTCTTTGCCTGCCTTTTTCCCTATTAATAATTATTAAATCCAGTATAGCTATACCCCTAGTTCCATCCTCCACTTTTGGGGTGATGACGGTGTCTACCAGGATTATTAACAATTGTTGGCCCTCTCACTTGCAATAGAGTTTGATTCTCAGTTGGTGTCTGCGTAGTTGAAATCCTCCATTATTATAATGGTATTGTTCCTGGCATCTTGGCCATTTCCAAAGAAATCATCTATATCTCAAATTTGGGTGGGTGGCTTGGTTTATCATTTTGTTTCTTTTTCCCTTGATCCTCAGTTTCAGCATGGTTTCATCCTTAGTATCACTTTGGAATGGGACAACTTGCTGCCACCAGCTCACCACTGTCAAGTTGCCACTGCCAAGTTGCCACAAGACAACTTCACATGGTCAGCTTGACATGGGGACAATTCTCCATAGCAGCCATAGGAGAGCTGGTGGGTGGGTGAGGAAGTGGGTGGGCAGAGCACAGAATGTGTTGAGGCAGGTGTCGGGTAGATGGTGGTGCTGGGGGCTTCCCATT